TACTTAACCGACTGAGCCACCCAGGTGCCCCAAGAAATGTTTTTATTCCAGGAAAAAAACACTATTCTTTTTCTTAGCACTTTAGCAAAAAATGTATCTCCCCTTGGTATATTTAATCACAAGTGAGTAAGTGAACAGGTGTATTAGATCCTCTGGGTAGGAAGAGACCAACATCCTATTGTCAACTATATATTTAATATATTGATGTCAACGATGTTAGCTCAATAAAGACTTGATGGTAGTAAAGGGCAAGGCAGTCTTGAAATTAAACAATCTCAGAAAAAGAAGTAAATTGCTTGTTTAACACAAAGGCCTGAATGTTTGAGAGGTACTTTTGCCTGCCTCATTTCAATATACAGAATGAGTGCGATTTTACACTGGATTTATCAAATGAAGAAATTAGCATGAGTCACCTTGCCCAGAGCCTTTTGATCTTTGGACACCACTTCTTACCTAAGCCTTGATTATTTATTAACCATGTCACTCTGCCAATGGTCTCCTAATGAGAATATGAGCCCCAGCCATAACAAAGTACACATATTATTCAGTTAGGCCTAGCACCTCAAAATTAAAAATTTAAATTTTCCCAGGACAACAATTAATATGCTTTCAGTCACTAAATACTAGTTTGTATTTTCTAGAGTTTGATACGAATGATATCAAGTGGTATCAGCCATTTGACTTTATTCTTCCTTAAAAAATTTTTTTTTTCCGTTAGTCTAGGTCTTTTGCATGTTTCTATCATTTTTGGAATCCATTCATCAATTTCTGCACAATAGCCTCCTGCGATTTTAATGGGGATTTCCTAAAATTTTATCAATTTCAGGAGAAGTTCTATCTTAACAATATCAAGTTCTGATTAATGTCCTTCACATAAGTCAGTTCCTAGTCTGTTCCTAGTTTAGTATCAGCTGTGGACCTGGGATTACATTAAATGAGAGTCCTTTTGTCTATTGTGATGATCTCATGTTTTTGTTTTTTAGTTTTCTCATTTGATTGATGATATTGATTGACTTTTATTTATTTTTTTAATTTTGTTTTTACATTTATTTATTTTTTTTTTAATTTTTTTTTCCAACGTTTATTTATTTTTGGGACACAGAGAGACAGAGCATGAACGGGCGAGGGGCAGAGAGAGAGGGAGACACAGAATCGGAAACAGGCTCCAGGCTCTGAGCCATCAGCCCAGAGCCCGACGCGGGGCTCGAACTCACGGACCGTGAGATCGTGACCTGGCTGAAGTCGGACGCTTAACCGACTGCGCCACCCAGGCGCCCCAACATTTATTTATTTTTGAGAGACAGAGCTCAAGTGGGGGAGGGGCGGAGAGAGAAGGAGACACAGAATCCGAAGCAGGCTCCAGGCTCTGAGCCGTCAGCAAAGAACCCCACGCGGGGCTCGAACCCACAAACCGCGAGATCATGACCTTAGCTGAAGTCGGTCGCTCAACTGCTCAACCGACTGAGCCACCAAGGCGCCCCTATATTGATTGACTTTTAAATGTAAAACTAACCTTCAACCTTATGTAATCAAGCTTTTATATTTTTACATCCTACTGGATTCAGTTGCTAAATTTTTGTTAAGAATTTGTTCTATCTATATTCGTGAAGGATATTAGTCTGAAGCTTTCTTTTCTCTTGACATCTATGTTTGTAGTTTAAGAACTGGGATAATGATGATTCACAGAATGTATTGTTAAGATTTGACTATTTAATTTTCTAGAAGCATTTGTTTAGGAATGGTATTATTTTTACCCTAAATACTTAGAATAATTCAGCAACTAGGTGATCTGGGTCTGGAGCCTACTTTGTGGGAAATTTTGTAACTACGAATTAAATTTAAAAAAATAATGCCATTCACATTATCTATTCACTTAGAGAAGACTTTACTAAGTGAGCTTTGAAAGTTTGTGTCTTTAAGGAATTTAACACATTTCACCTAGAGTGTGGAATCTATTTCCATAAAGTTGTTCAGAGTATTCCTTTATTATTCTAACCATACATAACTTACAGAATTTGTACTAATGTCACTTCTCTTGTTTCTGATATTGGCAATTTGTGCATTTTTCTCCCTGTTTGGTGGGTTAGGCGTTGATCAATTTTATTGATTGTTTCATAAAATTGTTTTTGGTTACATTGACTTTATTGTTTTTATTTTTTTCTATTTCATAGATTTCTGCCCTTATTTTCCTACTGTCATTAATTTGAGTTCAATTTGCTCTTCTAGTTTCTTAAAGAAAAAGCTATGCACACTGATTCGAGACTTTTTTTTCCCTCACGTCCGTTTGGTGGAGTAAATTGCAAAAAAAAAAACAAAAAAACAAAAAAACAAAAAAACAAAAAAACAAAAAAAACAACTTGTATATTATTGATAAATCTCAACTAATTATCCAAGGAATTATTTTTAATTCCTACCTATCTTTTGTTTTAGTTACATTTGATTTGTTTAAATGGTACTTTTTTAGTGAAAGTGAAACTCAAATAATAGTAAAAATAATAATATAATAATAATTTGCAAAAGAAAGTAGAACAGCAGGTGCTGTTATTTTAGGAAGCTTTATTATTTGCAATCATTTTCAGCTATGGAAAGATTCAAATCTCAAAGTCTCAACTAATGAGGGAATTTTTGTTTATTAATTTCTTCTTGCTATAAACAGTGATCAAAATCTTACTCAAAAAAGAAGCTGATAGCTCCCTGGAGATTGCACATTGTGGAATAAAAGTTACTATTATTAAGTAACATTTTCTTGAATGTTTAAGGATTTTTGAGAATAGAATAAGAGTTACCATGGGTATAATATTCACAAAGAATTTGATAGCTCTCTGGAGATTGCATACAGAGAAGTAAACATTTTTATTAAGTAACATTTTCTTGAATGTTTAAGGATTTTTGAGGAGAATGAGAATTACCAGGAGTACAATATCTGATATATATTCCACTGGTTTTTAAAATAGAACCTAACAATCATTGCAATGTCTTTAAAGATTATTTAGGAATTTTGCTTTCAATTCTGACATGTAAAAGACTTGTAAGTGATCACTCCTGTTTTTAGAAGCATTGAGCTAAACAAAGTGAAAGCAGTGGCCTTACTTGAACCCATCAGAAGAGTAAGGTGCTGGGGCAAACTGACCTCCCCAAATCTGGAGAATCGAGTGAATACAGAGAATCACAGCAGCAATCAGCCTACCTGACACAAAAGTACATGGAGCCATAATCAGATAAGAAGACTTAACTGGTAATTTTGGCAAATTACTGAAGGCTGCCTATGAACTAGTATGAGAATGAGAAGCTCCTGGGGACTGCAGGGTTACGGGAACACCAACACTTTCATAGGTTTAAATTCCAAGAACACCAACAGGTTCTCATGGTGAAGAATAAAGAAAAATCCCCTTGTTTTTCTGACAAGAGGAGAGTAAAGCAACCATTTTGAAATAGACCCAAAGAATTATACATAACATTCATCAGTGTACTCTCCAGAGTAGACTTTACCAGAGACGTATTATGCCTAAAAGATGGGCACTCCCCTGACTTCAGCATCTGATAGCCTTCCTGCCTTACCTAAAGGGAAGTGGCTAGGTAGGAACTAAAAAACACTTGTGAAGGTCATATACCAGGATCATAAGCCAACTAAAAGAATGAGACTTAATCAGAAAATTATAGAATTAATTTTAGATATCTTGAAACCATCTTTGTGGATCATTCTGGTTGTTGTTCTCCTCTAAGCAGAATTTGTAATGATGTCAGTGAAACATCTCAGAAAATTGCATGTCAATCTTGGCATGGCCTGGATTTGCTAAGATAAATGTAGTCTTTTCCTCCAAGTGAATTCCTTGAATTGGTTTGAAGCTGTACAACACAATCATATAATCTCTTGAAATACCAAGGATCAAGGCAAACTTTCTGGAATTGTTTTCGTAATACTTCCGTGTCTAACTGGGTGATATAACTGACTGTTCTTCCTCACATTTGTTTTATACTGATAACTCTATATAATATTTAATGAACAAAAAATCTTGAAACATTAAGTCTGATGACATTAGTGTTCCATTGATAAAGAACTAAAATGAAAAGACATTAAAGTTTAACTTTTCCCCCTAAATGCTAACACAGAACATGAAAACAAAAAGGTTTCTTTAAAAAATCAAATATCATCTTCAAGGGTATGAGGGAAGGATGCCCACCTATCCTGTGGGCATCAAACCCTGGAATGCATAGAGCCATTATTATGCTAAAAAATACTTCCAATAAAATTTCATGGTGATTATTGTCTTTGACCACCCAGCACCACATTCTTCTTTCCTCTCATGACACAGTTTACCTTATCTCAAGCTTCGGCATGGTTACACCACTTATAATTACCTATACCCCTGTCCACGGTTTGGTCCAAAGATAGGTACATAACACAGGTGAGACGATGGTTTTTGCAGGATCTTTCTCCTGGAGGGTTAAGTAGTCACAAAAGAACCTTTCCTTTCTCCATTATCATGAGTATATAAAATGTGACCACAGAGATGACAAAAGTAATTCTCATTATGTAAGTATGCCTGAAAGAATTAGACACACAGGGGGATAAAAGAGATGACAGATAAGAGATTGCCTCTGTTATACCCTGAGTTTCTAAGATTCCTGGAGCCTAGTAACTTTGCAACTTTTTTTTTCTTGGCCTTTAAACTATGGTGTAGATATATAGAGAGATGATAGATAGATAGATACATAGATACATAGATAGATGATAGAAGATCATAGATAGATAGATAGATAGATAGATAGATAGAAGACAATAGGTAGATAGATAGATAGATAGATAGAAGATAGAAAAAATGATAGAAGATAGATAGATAGATAGATAGATAGATAGATAGATAGATAGAAGGAAACATACATACATAGTTATACTATATATACTGATTTGACCAAATATTGAGGAACATTGTTAGAGTTGGAGTTCAGCCATGTACAAGGGAAAGGGTACTTAGATTCAGGGGATAGCATCAATTTACCATAATAACTGCAGTTTTCCTTCCTTGCACCAACACTGTGTAAGGTGTGTTGAGGGAAATGGTAAATAAGTGCTGACCTTTTCCCCAAAGAATTCTCCTCCTTGTTAGGAACATAAGAAGATCATGGATGTAACAAAGAATAATAGAACTTAGAACATACTAGAGAGCTTTTGTGTGAGGAAATATAGGCTGTTCAGTGTGAGAAAGCACTAATAATTAGATTGTCATCTCTGTAAATATTTTGACAGTACACTTTCTAAGACCTGCACAGTAGTCCATTATATTGATAGATGTGCCATAGTTTGTTAAGGCAATTCCTCATTTAGGATATTTTGGTTGCTTTCCTTCTATTCCAGTGTTTCTCAGCTTCAGCACTATTGACATTTCGTACCAAATAAATCTTTGTTGTGGAGGCTGTCCTGCATATTGCTGCTGGCCTCCACTCACCAGATGTCAGTGGCATACCCTCTCCCCACAGCTGTGACAAAAATATCTCCAGAAATTGCCAAATGCCTCCTGGGGGACAAAATCATCCTTGATTGAGAATTACTCTTCTACTACAAATACATTTTCAGGGGCACCTGGGTGGCTCAGTCGGTTAAGCATCTGACTTCAACTCAGGTCATGATCTCACAGCTCATTGGTTCAAGCCCCACTCTGGGCTCTGTGCTGACAGCTCAGAGGCTAGAGTCTGCTTCAGATTCTGTGTCTCCCTCTTTCTCTTCCCCTCCCCCGCTCGTGCTCTGTCTGTCTGTCTCTCTCTCTCTCAAAAATAAACATTAGAAAAGAAATTTATAAATAAATAAAAATACACTTTAATTGTTTTCCTGACATAAAAGTAATAAGCATTACTTAGAAAATTAATAAAATTATAGAAGGGGTGCCTAAGTGGCTCAGTTGGTTGAGTGTTCAACTCTTGGTTTCAGCTCACGCCATGATCCCGGTGTTGTGGGATCGAGCCCTGTGTCGGGCTCCGTACTGAGCATGGAGTGTGCTTAAGATTCTCTCTCTCTTTCTCTCTCTACCCTGCTCGCATGCTCTCTCTCTATCTGTCTCTCTAAAACACATACAGATAGAAAAATAAAATGGAGAAAGTAAAAATTATCAATTATTAGCATTTTATAAGTCACTTAACACTTTTTTTGCCACATTTCAACATAATTTATTTTTATCTGATATTAAACTTAAATCATATCTTATTTGGCATACTATAATTTTTATTCAATGTTCCACATAAGTCATTAAATACTACTTAAGAATGTGGTTTTGATTGGCTATGTAGTGTCCAATTGCATGACAGGGTCTTTTTTTTCAAATTAGGAGAATTCTCCTGAGTTCAAGTCAAACTTTAGTGATGGTATAATGAGCTCTTTGTCTAATGAGAAAATGATTCTGAACAAAGACCTTTTCATTATTATATTTAGTAAGGAACATATTTAGTCAACCAATTGGTCCTGTAGTGAATCAATACACTCTTATTTTTTTCAATTTTTTTGATGTTGGTAGTGTCCAGGTGGGTAAATTTCATTTAAGCATGTTTCAAATCCAAGAACACCTAAAGTTTTATTTAACTAGCGGAAGAACCTATACTAGTTTCAATATAACTATGGCATAGTTTTTACATATTTATGACACTGTGCTAAGGACTGAATTTGTAGACTTATCAAACAATTTAACCCCACCCGTAAGGTGTTTTAAAGGAATGAGACATGCATAACGTCAATACACAATGTGATGTGAACTATAGCCAAGAACGATGTGCAAAATGCAATGAAAATTCAGAAGGAAGGAGTGCACTGGAAGAGATCAAGCTAGGCCTAGATGAGAAAGCAATATTTATGGGACATCTTAAAGAAATGATAGAATTCTGACATGCCAAGCAAGGGAAGGAAAGGGAGGCCATTCCTGACAGAAGAAATGACTTGAACATGGAAGAAGGACAAGAGTGGTAAGGCTGGAGGGCAGTGAAAAGGCCTGGAATTCTAGAAGCAGGTGTCTGGGGTGAAGAAGGAAAGAGCAGAAAGCAGATGGAGAAGGAGGAAAGGAATGGAGAGCAGGATAAGCTAATGACAGCCTGCTCTTGTCAGGCACAGTGGTTTAAGTTTTATTGGCATCGTTTAATCACTCACATCTCCTTGTTTCAAATGAGAAGACCAAGGCACACGGTTACCCAGCTATTACATGGCAAAAATGGTTATAGAGCTAACAAATGGAGGTGATGGTATTGAACCCAAGGATTGACTCCAGCTGTCTTTGATTTATGCTATGCCATCTTTCAGATGCCATATAGTCTATTACCAACATTTAATCGAAATAAAGCTGAAAATCCTTTCTTAAACCTTCCTTTGAAGCTAAATACATCAGTGGTCTCAGAGAACTCTGGCCACCTATTCAGCTGCTCCCACTATAATGCAGTACATTTACATATATACAGGTCTACCTACTTTCCTCAACCCACTGCTACAGTATTTTAAGTTTCATGAGTCAAGAAATCTTCTTCATCACTTCTCTGATTTCAATGTCTGGAACAGAGCGTCTCAAAATGTTCACTGATTCATAAAAATCCTATGAAAGTGGGGATGGGGAACACCCGCTTTGCTCAGTCTGTAGAACATGCAACTCTTGATCTCAGGGTTGTATGCTTGAGCCCCATGTTGGGTGCAGAGTTGACTTAACAATAAACATTTTTTAAAAAATGTTCATTGATTAGATAAAACCAAATCCAAGCAGGGATACGTAGAAGAGCATTTCCCTCTCCCCACAAAATGTGGTCCATCTGCCTCTCTTTGGAGTAATCATAAAAATTGAGCAAATGCCTTTATCTAGTTCTTTATCCACATATGTTCCTAGTGGATCCTGGCTTGTCGGAGGGCCCCCAGTACAAAGAAAACCCGCTGAAACATGTTTCCCAGAGAAGTGAGAGTGTTAAGTGTGCTTTAAATGTTAGGCTTAAAATTGGATTGATTTTTGTACTAACAGTGTAATTTCCAGGTATTTGTTTTAATAACAAACAGTATTTGAAATGACTGCTGAATAGCAGTAAGTTTATCGCTAATTAGAGGAGCGTCTCACTGATGCAAGCTAATGAGAAGCAGAGCAATAACTGAGCAGAGTGCCAAAGTTTCAAGGGTAGCATCATAAATGCAGTTTGTTTAGTTCTGTAAATATATGTTGTTTGCTTTATTTACAACAGCCCACAGATTACTCAAGTGCATAATATGCTGGTATATTAGGTGAAATAAAAATCTCACGAACATGAGCTCTCACCAAAGTGCTCTGTCTGCTATTAAACTTTTATTAAGAACGGAGATAAAACAATTCTCTTTGGAGCAGGAATTAGAGTGCCTGCTGATGATCACTGAAGTGAATGAGGATGAGACAATAAGAGAGAGAGCCATGTTCTCAAGGAAATACCGGCTGATCACGCCCATTGTGCTCTGACCTTGCTCTTACTATCCCCAGAGGTACTTCAGGTCACTTCACATAAATGGATAACAGAACAGCTAAATGTCCTGGAGTGAGTGCCGCAGTGTGTGAAGGCACAAAGGCCACTCTTGGGATGGGTGTCTGAATGTAGGTTTTGTTGTTAGGACAGAAAGCAGCTTCAGAGCCAGAGAGCTGAGTACAGCATTCCATGGGGAGATGTGAGCTTTAGAAAGAGACACGTAACCCGCAGTTTCTGAGGGGCTGGTCGTGGGCTAGACAGACAGTGAACAAGTAATGGCAAGGGCCAGATGTTTGGGAAGATCCTTAGGGAGGAGCTGGAACCTGGAAAGTTGAAAGGAAGGGATATTTTCATAACCAAAATACATGGCCATGGCGTTAACCCAAACAAAGAGAGGACATTTCAATGGAGTAATTGTTTTCACTCCAGTGGTTCATTTCTGTTTTACTGGGAATGATCTGACTGAATCAGTCAGTTGTTCCAGCTTTGAAAAGACTTGAAGACGCGTTCAAGTTTCTTACCAAAACAGTCAAATGAAAACTTGCTGTGGACATACAATTGGAATGTTCACTTTTATAAGTAATAGTCTTACTTATGTAATTCTCACATATCATATGTCAAAAACAGCACAACAGCTGAAAATCGAGCCCATCTAAGAGTGTGCCATCAGCTCAGCCGAGAAACAACAGCCTTGGAAGCCAGGCCACACAGAGAAAAGAGCACAAACCTTGAAGTTAAACAAGTCCTGAGCTTAAGAATTGACATTGTCACCAACTGGCTGTGTGAATTTTGGCAAATTACCAAGGCTCTCTGACTTGCAGATTCCTCATCTACATACTCAGGATAATAATATGGACGGCTAGGTATTGCTTGTCTTGGTCTATTTGGGCCAGTAAGACAAAATACCATAGACTGAGTGTCTTATAAACAGCAGAAACTTACTTCTCGCAGTTCTAAAGGATGCAAGTCCAAAAACAAGGTGGCATCAGATTCACTGTCTGATGAGGGCTCATTTGCTCACTGATGGTCATCTTCTCACTGTAACCTCACATGGCAGAATGGGCGAGGGAGCATTCTGAGGCCTCTTTTATAAGGATGCTAATCCCACTATGAAGTCTCTAATCATGACCTCATCACTTCTGACATAGGAAATAAGTAGGAATGGGGAATGCTCTGTACAAGATACCTACTCCTGGATCTTATAACATTGCTGTCATTCATTTTATGTATCCATATGCTGGAATCATCCCCAATACATTGTTGCAATGATTACTTTAAAGTTATTAGATCAATAAGGATAAGAAAATTATTTTTTTTATCAGTATCCTTCTCCAACATTCTTCTTTTCTTTCGTAATAAGGATTTGTGATTATATCACTTATTTTCCTTCTCCTTGAAGAAATTCTGTGAACATTTCTTGCAGGGCAGATCTGACATGATGAGATCCCTGTTTTTGTTTGTCTGAGAAAGTCTTTATTACTTTTTCATTTTGAAGGATAATTTCTCTGGATATAGAATTCTAGACTGGTCTTTTCCTTTCCATTACTTAAAAACTTCACTTCGGGGTGCCTGGGTGGCTCAGTCAGTTAAGTATCTGACTCTTGATTTTGGCCCAGATCACGATCTCACAATTCATGAGTTTG